AAATTCACCTTACGACTAATGGGTCAATTGCTTAAAGATATACACTAGCAAAGGTTGTGCCAAAGCCAATAAATAACTCAAATAAACTGGACACTGGTGGCTCCTGCCTGTAACCCCAGCCCAGGCAAAGAAGGTTCATGAGTCCCCTATCTTACTGTGCCTGTCTATTTACTTCTATTTACTGTGTAAATAGAAGGTTCCCAATTAGGCAAGCCAGGCAAAAAGCTAGACCCTATCTCCAAAATAGCCAGAGCAAAAAGGGCAGGCAGTGTGGCTCAAGTGGTAGAGCGCAAGTGTGAGGCCCTGAGTTCAAACCTCAATGCTTCCAAGACAATAAATAAGATCAGGATGTCTATTGTCATCAACTCTATGAGCACTATAAAGAAAATGCTAGTAAATGCAACAATAAAGCAGGGAGAAAAAAATCAAAAGGATCCTACTTGAAACAGAAATGCAACTGTCAGTATCCACCAAACTACATGATTGTCCTCACAGAAAATTCTAAGGAATGTATTAAAATCTACTCAAATTAATAAATGAGCTTATCTAGCCCAATGCCGATGACTCATGCCTATAATCCCAGCTACTCAGCATGCAGAGATCAGGAGGACCGAGGTTCAAGACCAGCCTGGGCAAATAGTTTGTGAGACCCATCACAAAAAGGGCTGGTGGAATAGCTCAAGGTGAAGACCCTGAGTTCAAACTCCAAAACTCCAGTACCTCAAAAAAAAAAAAAAAAAGCCACCCATGAGGTCAGTGTAAGTCACATAATACACAATAATAAACTGTAAGCTGTAAACACTGAAACTTTACAGCTTCTGAAAAAGAACACAGGAGAAAATTGTAGTGACCCTGGGTTGGCCAAAGATTTCTGAACCAGCACATAAAAAGCACAAAAAAGAAAAGAGTTATAACCTAGACTTCATCAAAATAAAGCCTTTTGCTTTCCAAAAGACTTTATTGTCAGGAGTGGTGATGCACACATGTAGTCACAGCTACTGGGGAGAAGCCCAGGAGCTCAGGGCCAAACCTCAGTCACATAGGGAGACCCTGTCTCTTTAAGGAAAAAAAAAAAGGCACTATTAAAGAAATAGAAAGCAAAGTATAGACTGGGAGAAAATATTTGGATTTAAATGGAAAATCTAGAAAGGAATCTTAGGATTTAATCTTGAGTCACTCTTCCAGCCCTTATTGCTCTGGTTACTTTGGAGGTAGGGTCTCCGTTTTTGCCTGGGCCAGCTTGGACAGAGATCCTCCCAATTTACACTTCCTGCCATTGCTGGGATGACAGGTATGATCCACCACACTCAGCTATTGGTTTGAAATGGGGTCTCCTGAACTTTTTGCCTGGGCTGGCCTGGAATCACCATCCTCCCAGTCTCCGTCTCCTAAGTAGCTAGATTTATAGGCATTAGTCACCAGTACCCAGTCACACTGTTTTTAGAAATACAGAATGCTATAGATTCTCTCGAAAATATTTAGCCCTTTAAGTGAAATCTGTATGTACTGTATGACTCTACTTACCTTGAGGTGGAAGTATAGATCCACGTGAAGCCTTCGATGGCAGTGTTTATGGTAGCATTACTGATAATAGCACCACGCTGCAAGACACCCAAATGCCCTTCAGCCGATGGGTAAACAAATTGTAACAGTGGGATATCACTCACAGCAACAGAAGGAAATACACTATGACCTCCTGGTTTATACAACGTGGATTCATGTCAAAAGCATTCTGCTAAGTGAAAGAATCCAGACACAAAAGCCTACCAACTATTACTTCATTCATGTGAAATTCTAGAAAACATGAAACTATGGTGGCAGAACTTTGTTTTTTTAAAAAATGAGCTGGGAGTATGTCTCAGTGGTAGAGTGCATGCGTGGAATGCATTGAGGTCCTTGGATTCAATCCTCAGCAGTGCAAAAACTATATAAATAAACAAAATAAGCACTAAAGACAGGCAAAAGGAATTGTGGTTGTCTAACTGACTGTGTTCTGTAGTGGAGGACCTGTAGATGTCTTCAAGACTTAAACACATGAACAATCCTAAATTTGCTTATCACCACCCAGGGAAAGAAGTGAATGAATAGGCTGAGTATTTGCTCTTTTGAGCCAGTAAAATGTGACTACAATAGGGACACTTTGCTTTGATGACTCCAAAAGGTCTGACAGAAACCAAGTTCAAAAAATAAATGGAAGACCTGATTGAGTCAATTTCATTGGATGTAAGTGTTTTGACAATCTCTGTTTATAAGAAAGATGATTTGGCTTTAGTTTTTTCTTTTAAATCACTATTTTTCCTAAACAATCACTTTGAACATCACTAATAAGAGCCAGTAATATCTGATTTTCTGTAGAGAAAATTTTCTCAGGTCAAAAATCCAGAAGTGCAGAATGTTCCTAAGGCCAGCATCCCAGCAGGTGCACAGACCGGGGTCTAATAAACAAAGCTTCCCAGGATTGACACGAACTGCCTTGGGGAAGAAGTGGCTTGTCCTGTTGAAGTGGCGACTGCAGCCATGTTGGTTGGAACATAGGAGAGACGTTTTGAGCAGCAGATGGGGTGTTGGACTGATGGGAGCGCTCTGTGGGTGTGTAGCTGGAGCCAGACTCCCCAGATGTGCTGCAGCTGGAGGTGTCCCGAGCATAACAGCTGTGTGTCTTGGGGGTGTTAGGTAGTACTTTCTGTGTTGCACCATTTGAATTTAAATTTTAGGAGGGCAGTCTCCATGCTGTTGTTAAAGGTGTCATAGACTAACTCCCTACAGTTCTGAAAGATGCCATTCCATATTGCTGGAGATCTGTTCACCCCAAAGATCATTTGCAATTGATGAAGTGTGCATATTTTTGTTTGCCTCAATGCCACCTGATACCTTTCCTTGACTCAGTTTTCTGGAAATAATCATGGATTTAGTTTTCCCTCACTATTGACTAAAATGAAGAGGTGAACAATCTCATTAAATTATTACCAGAAAGAAATGAGACCTAGTGATCTCAAAAGTGCAGAAACATATCCCAGGCCAAATGCTTAAAGGCATGACACTGTTCCCAGAAGAACCCTGCAGCTTAAAAATATAGTATTTAAGAGAGCTAACATCTCTTTCTAAATATCCTGACAGAAGAAGAGAAAGTAACCCCTGGTGATCAAGTTGGTGTTTCAGAACACCATCTTAAAGTAGGTGAAGATTTATTTCATAGTCAAGCAGGGATGATGAAACTTTTTTTTAATGAGGCATATCATATGCCTCTCTCCCTAGAAGTTGAGAGAGAACTCGAAGAAAGATTCTTCTTACTGAACTAATCCGTGTTACAGCTCTTCCTTCTACTTCCTAGTTCAATGACTATTTAGTGGACAACCATTGCGGTGTCCTTTGGGAGATGCTATGAAGAAAAATATAAACTAGATAGCAACCTTAGCATGAGGTACTTTGAAATATATTTTGAGCAGACAAGGAGGAAAAGTTTGTAACCATAAGCAAGATTCTGAGGTGTGCCAGTTGAGTGGATTGGAAAGTAGGAACACTAGAGGTCAAAGGAGAAGAGCACATTTCATTGGCAGTATTTAAGGGAAGAATGGTTTATATGAGTCACACAGTCCCAAGGAAGGGGACAAGGGTGTTCTATTTGGCAGAAATGTCAAAGGGGAGTGGGCCAGTTACATTTGGTGATTAGGATATTGCTGTTGACCTTCAAGAGTAGGATCTATACTGGCATTGAGAGGGTGAGATTGGAGAGGGTGATGTTGGAAACCAGGTCAGTGTGAGTTACAGGACAGGTGCATTGGAGGAATTGCATGGTGGTCACCCTCTGGAGATGTTTGAGGAAGTACAATGGAGTCAGTGAGTATTGTTTTCTGCCAAGTAGGAGAAAATTGTTGTTTTCTAGGTCAAAACATATGGATTATTGAAGGGGAGAGGTCAGATATGTTTGATAGGTAATAGGTAAATTTTACAATCCCAAAGAGCATAAGATGGAAAAAAAACCCACAGATAACTGATAGTATTTTTGAAAAGGAAATGAACTGGCATAAATGATAACTTTTGCATTTTATGTAAATATATTAAGAAATTCAAATATTACTTGACATTGAATTATTATTTAAATGAAAAAAAGGAGAGGGAGGAAGATTAGAGGTGTTTACATATTTGACCTCTTGTTCTTTAAAGAACGTGAGTGTCTTATATCTTCTGATAGTAATTTAGATTTTTTCCTTACCTTCTCAATGACACACTGCTATAGTTTGGATCTCTAAAGACCCATGTGACAAAGGTTTGATCCCCAGTCCAGGGCTTTATTGGAAGTCGGTGGAACCTTTAGGACCTAGTAGAAAGAAGTTAGGTCATTGGGGGTATGGCCGTGAAGGGGCTATAGAGGAACCTTGGCCCCTCTGATTCCTCTTTCTTTTGCATCCTGGCTGCCTTGAGGTAAGCACGTGGTACCATCATGTGCTCCCACCATGACGTTCTTCCTCTCCACAGGCCCAAAGTAACAGGACCACACCACCATGGGCTGAAACCTCCAAACTGAGCCAAAATAAATCTTCTGTATAAGCTGATTAGCTTAGGTATTTGTTACGGTGGTGGAAAACTGACTGACACTAATACCAAGGAATGGGAACTGCAGATGAGAGTTGTTCTGGTGCCCCCCTCTATCTTTGTCTGTCAGGGAAGGTTCTCTGACCACTGTTTGATATCTCTGAGCAAGGATCAGGAAGAAAGGAGACAGGTGGTACCCAGGAGAGATGTGCATCCTTCCTACGGTGCAGAAGTCTTCAGGGGCTATCTCAGGAATGAGTGAAGGTTGCTTCTCACTGAATGGCAGCAACATTTTGAGTTCCCAGGGACAGTCCAGACTCTGAGGAAATTATGCATGTGTGTTTGCATGTGCTCACTAAAGCTCACTATGCTTCCTCCTTGCTATCTGAGAGACACACAAATGGCTTCAGAACGGGACGTGTCACTTCAAGGAACTGTTCTCACAGGTGTTGCCCTGTCCTCCTCAGACACAGGCGGGTTTGCGGTGGTGAACAGCCACTCCTTGTCTCTGCTGGGGAAGCTGACAATCAGTGCTGCCTTTAACATCGTTTACATCTACACCTCTGAGCTGTACCCCACTGTCATCAGGTATGTGTCTCCTTTGCGCGCTCTGCATTGGGTCGACTGTGCTTGTATGGCGGAGGTGGCCTTCTCCTACCCTCCACTGTGTCACCATAGGGCCACCAGCAGCATGGCCAGCAGTTGTAGTGCAGAGCAGGTACATAGGATGCTCTTTGCCTCTTTGGCTGAGGAAGCCGGAGCTTTGCTGTAGCTGAATTTCCTCGTGTAAATCGTAAGAAAAGACTTCTTCATGCTAGATGTAACCGATCCCCCACCCAGGGCTGGGTACTGGTTTTATTTTGGCAGATTTTATTTATTCAGTCACCCATCAAAGGTTAAAAGCACATTACCAAGGGACAAGGTCCCTTTTCTCATAGCGCCTATGTTTTTCCACAAACTATTTACATTCAAAGGTATCATTTCATATAAGTGAATATTAGATTTAAATATTAGTTGTTCAATTAGTTTTTGATGAGTAGCACATGTTTATATAAAAAAGAGTATATTCCATCCTTAATTTCCCCTCATAAAACAAGTCTGAAAACTCATATTGAAGGATGAGGCTGCAATTTATGCTTTGCAGAACTCCCTCTGTGGACTGGGCCAGTGTGCCCTCAGGAAGTCCTTTCCCAGTCATTTTTTTGGGTCATTCGAAAGGGATCCCCTTTCCCATGCAAGAAGCCTAAGGATTCCTTCTGCCTGCTGACTTAAAATCCCTTTATCAGTAACAGCTCAGATGATCAGCTGTTGTCTTCTTATTTCCCAGTTGTTCCACAACCTCCTTGTCTGCCTACTGGCTATAAAACTCCAATGACATGGTGTCCAAACTAGGACACTTCTGAGAGCAAATGTGGACGTTACTAACGCTTGGGCTGAGCCTGAGTCACGTATGACACCCCATCTAGAACCTTTACCATTCTCTCTAGCTCCCTCCACCTCTTTTGTGCCTACACTCCCCTCGACAGTCATGTTCTGGGTGCCTGAGTGTACACACAGTCAATTCCTACTTATATGACTGAATTTTTAATAGTAAATTCACCGAGTTTAAATAAGTGGGCAGTTTTTTCAGACTATAAAGCCCTGGCTCTCCGTGGCTATATTAACTGATAAGAGACCTAAGACAAAAACCCATAAGGATATTTGATTAGGGCCAGACATGGTGGTGCAGGCCTGTAGTCCCCACACTTGGGAAACTGAGGCAGGAGGATCATAAATTTAGGGCTAATTTGAGCTCATATTGAGATCCTGTCTCAAAACAAAAGAACATTTGATTAGAAGTATTCAAATGCTCATTTCTGCATCATCCTGTAGAAATGCATTGTCTAATGAAGTAGTTAATTTTCTCACGTGGCCATTTAAATGAATTAAAATCTCAGAAGTTAAACATTCAGCCCTTTGTCCCCAGGAGCCACATCTCAAATATAGGTAGGGTCATGTGTCCAGTGATTTCCACAGAGGTCAGAGTAATTATACAACATTTCCAGCACTAGAAAGTTCTAGCAGGCAGCACTGCTCCATCAGGTCCTGTTTCCATTTTGGAATGTACTTACTCTTCTACACCCGATATGCCCTCTGTCCCAGGATCTTTAAATCGACCCTCTAGAACTTACTGGTTTTATTTTATTTTATTTTATTTTTACCTTTTCTTATGCCTTTCAGGAATGTTGGGCTCGGAACTTGTTCCATGTTCTCCCGTGTTGGTGGGATAATTGCTCCGTTCGTCCCCTCACTGGTTGGTTTGTACCTCCTTGTTCTGTTTTTCTTGATTTTCTGCTTTGGAAATGCCTGTGCTTTTATGTAGAAAGAGGTAATGGAGCGATACCACTTAAGATCAGTGGACACCAGTGTGAGCCTTGTGCATTTTAGAGGAAGAACCCAGTACTCTGTCAGGCCGGATAGACTGAGCTGCTTTTAACCTGATGGCTCTGACTTTTTGTTCTTGTGTGCTCACTGGAGGGCCAGTTGGTGCCAGTGGGGGTCCCTTCCTGTTTCCATTCATAAGTTAGTCAATTAATAAGTATTTGTTATGCTCCTACTGTGTGCTGGGCTCTCTGCTAGGCACTCTGCACGTATTACTGCACGTAACCTTGCAAATAGCCAGATGAGGTAGGCATTGTTGTCACCCTGGTATTAAAGATGCTTCAGAAACAGCGTAAGTGTCCTCCCCAAAAGCACACCACTTGAAAAAGAAAACTGGAGGAAGAGCAGGCCTAGCAGTGTGTCTGTGCATATTTGCAGGTCCAAATCAAGGGGACAGACTAAATGACCACTTTAAAATCCTCCTGGCCATAAAACACTCCCATTGTGCGAAAGAGCCTGGAGGGCTCCACACAAGTCTTTCTTTGGTGTGATCTGTGTCTTTCCAGCCAGGACTTTTTGAAAGGTGACTTTCAAAGATTTGATGTAGGGCTCCTCCTAGGAGGAGGAAAAAGGCTGTGTCATCTTGCTTCAGCAACACTCCCCTCCCCCAGGGCTGGGACCTGTGTTTGCATGCAGGGAGAGAGAAGAGACATCTCACCTATGCTTTTTCCTTCTCATCCATCAGCTCTAAACTTTAGAAAAATTAAGGGGGGGAAATGTTCAAGGGGAAACCCACAGAATATAGCACCCACAAAATTTGGAAGCCCAAACCAAAAGGTCATAGAGCCTAGCACTCCATGTCCAGGAATTCTAGAATGTTAATCAGTTCAAAATGACTCCAAAGCAGCCAAATCCCACAAGCAACTGTTTTGGGGTTGTCTTTGGACCTGTTTGTATTGGAAGGAAGCAGTAACTTTTCCCAAGAGTACTTCGTGCATCTCTGAAACCATTGCTTGCATCACCAGCCCCTTACCATGGTCAGTTTAAGTAGTGTATGAACCATATGCATTTGGTAGGGTCTTTCTTTTCAGAGCTTTTAGTCTCTTTCATCCCTGGGCCTCTCATTTGTGGTATTGGGACGGCTTGGTTGATCCCAGAATGGACAATTTGGGGTACCTCTCGTGGGAAGAGCATGTGCAGATCACTGCATGGTGAGCTCTTCCTGAGGATGGAAGGTGGATGCCAGATTTCCTGTGAACTCTGGCCGTGTGGATCCTGCTCTGCTCAGATACAACCATGGGCTCCTCTCCCACGATACCCACCTGTGCATGTGACAGCCCCCATTTCCATATTGCTTGCTTTTTGGTTTGCCAAGTCCCATCTCTACACACACGAAGAATCATTCTGCAGTTTGTCAGAGCGATGCTCTCTGAGAGGGAAAATGTCGCGATAGTGTGGGCTAGTAGGAAGACACAGACTGGACTGTAAGCATGACAGTTCTCAGTCACAAGACTGTGACGTCGTCTGCTCAGGAAATGACACTGAGGTTTTACTTGTTTTCATTCCACTCCCCGCCCCTGCAGAAGTATGTGCAGTGGTCTTTACCCTACATCGTGTTTGGAGCCACTGGCCTGACCTCCGGCCTCCTGAGTTTGTTATTGCCAGAAACTCTGAACAGCCCTTTGCTGGAGACGTTTTCTGACCTTCAGGTGTACTCGTACCGGAGACTGGGGGAGGAAACAATGTCTTTACAGACCTTGAGCCCTCTTCAGGTATGACAACATTGACCTTCACTGTTTATGTCTTCCACTAAGACGATGACAGTTTTGAAAACAGTAATGTCCTGAACTAAAACAAAGGTGACACCCGATGGCAGCTGCTTTGCAGAAAAATAAAGATGGTTGATAACTCAGTAGTTTTTTTAGAACACTTGAGGGTTACTCCCTAGGGGACACAGATGTCATCAAAATACATTTGCCAGCTGAACAGCTTGGTGGTGAGTTTCATTTGGGGACACGATGACATCATGTCACTGACCTTCTCTCCTTTCCCATTTTAGCCCTCAGACAAGGAAACAATTTGGGGAGTGAAAGTGAGGAAGAGGAAGAGTTTTATGATGCAGATGAAGAGACTCAGATGATCAAGTGAAGAGAACCACATTCCTGCTCAGGAGCAATGGATCATGGGAGAATCTCTGGCCACAGCAGGTTCTCCCGGGAGTCTTAAGAGAACTGCCGGGAGACAGATTGAACGCACACAGACAGTACTCAGAGTGGACTAATTCTTTTCAGGCACAAAGGAAGTGACAGAAGAGACTTCCTAAGACAGAACATCACTGTCCAGAATTCAAACTCAGCTCAGCATGGTGACGTCTGGACCGCATGGCTCAAGTCCACATTCCAGAGCGGGAGGCTGATTTGTGGCTAGAACTTTGTGCTGCTTTTCTTTCCTCATGATCTAAGAGCAGATAGGTGAATCTCCTCACCATTTTTGGCTAAACTTTCTGTAAGGTTTAATCTTTATACCATATTTGTCATCTGCCTGAATATGTGTTCCTCCTCACCAGGAATCTTCTGGAGCAGGTTGATGTCAGCATTTCTGTTTTGCATCCAAGGAAAGGCTGTGAGAGGCCACCCATGTGTCTCAAGGCGCTTCACCTTTGCCTCTGCTGATGAAATTTGAGTCATCAGCTTGGTTCTCAGCCTGGTGGGTGACACGCCTCCTTGTGCCTTTGGTCCCCAAGATGATTCACGAGTAAAAACCAGAGGCTCTGGAACAATTTTTCAGAGGAGTGGCAGTGACGTATAGCTCCCTTTGATACTTAAATTGTGTGATTTCCTCCGTTCCCACTTGTAAGCACTTCCAGAACAATCTCCTTCTGATGTTCTAGTATGAAGAATAAGTTCAGGTCATGGGCAGTAGCCAATAAATTTTTGTAAAAGGAGAGGGAAGTGACATGTTTATAATAGTACCTGATGTTTAAAAAAAGGTGCAGTTTTTAATAAGGGAGGAAAATGATTATCTTTCACAATTTTTGTTTTGCTGTCAGTGTTGAGCCATAAAGGACTTGGACAACATTTAAGAACTTGAACTCTTCTTGCCCTACATCAGCCCTATCTGTTTAGTGAGAATGGAAGGCACAGCAATTGTGTAAGAAATGCTGGGTTTTCATTAAATACTTCCAACTTTCCAATGACTCAACAGCATACTTAATCTCTTAAAATCACATGCTGAAAACATCTATTTCTCATGAAATTTAACTCCTATTTACTGTGTCAAAGAGGAGTATGCTTAGGTGGCATTCCTCTAGGTCACTCTACCAGTCAGGGAAATGTCTGTGCTTTCAGAATTTCCATTTCATGAGAGGTCACAGTGGATGTTTCTGGAGATCTTGGCTGGTGTCTTCCACATTGAGTTCTTGGTTTGCACAATGCCACCTGCATCTCTGTATTTGTTAAGGTATCTTTACGTTCCTTAAACCCTCGATAGTGGATTGGGCCCTCTCCATTGCTGTCTCTTTCTTTTCATGCCCAGATCACTGACACATTAAGGGGTGTCCACACAAATAAATATTGCTGTTTCTAGCCATCAGGGACTTTTGGAATTCCTTCTTTGTGTTGCTTTTGCAAGTCCCAGGCAGGTCTGACTCACAAATTGCAGAATCCTGCTTCTTTTTTAGAAAGAAGAGATCTGCCCACCACTGGGAGAAGAAAGGAAGGACTTACAAAAGACACTCAGCTCTTGTTAAGTGATCAAGTACTTAAAATTAAGGATTACTGTGGCTCACGCCTGTAATCCTAGCTACTCAGGAGGCAGAGATCAGGAGGATCACAGTTCAAGGCCAGTCCTGGCAAACAGTTCATGAGACCCTATGTCAAAAACCGTCACAAAATAGGGGTGGTGGAGTGGCTCAAGGTGTAGGCCCTGAGCTCAAGCCCAGTACTGCAAGAGATAAATAAATAAGTATAAATGAAATAATGTGCTGGCACCAGTGGCTCACAATCGCGGTTCTAATCCAGCCTGGGCAAATAGTTCTGAGACCCTGTCTCAGGTAGAGTGGCTCAAGTTGTAGATCACCTGCCTACCAAGCATGAGGCCCTGAGTTCAAAATCCCTGGTACTGCCAAAAAAAAGGAAATAATCTTTATGCATATATATACACACTTATATACATACCTGCATATATACACACATATACATACATGTATATTCACACACACATATAGATATGTATGTAGTAAGTCTATCTCATTTGCAGATTTACTGCCTGCGGTTTTGATCACGTGTAATCAAAAATCATAAATTAAAATCAAAAGAAATTTCAAAGCCAAGCATTTTAAATTTGCACGTGTCAGTCCCTCAGCTCAGTGAATGCGGAGAAGCTCAGTCAGCCCTGCCTTACCTCAGTTCTGTGTTTCCCTGCCCTTAAACTTGTGAAAAATCTGCCTTCCCAAAAAGCAAATGGCATCCAAAAGCAAGGTAAAAGTGAATGTGCATAACTGAAGTAATACAGTGAGACTTTTAGATTTGTGAAAAGGCAGCGTGTTTATGGAAAGTTGAGCAGTGTTATAGGAGAAAGGCCTCAAGCCTCCACAGTCCTGCACAGAGCCTGCGTCCTGCACATGCACGGTTTTCCTCAACACCCCCATCCGCCATTGACGCTCCCTTTAAGAGCAATGAAAAATTGAGAAAGTGGAAGCTGGGCCCGTAGATATGCTCAGTTTCCAGAGAGACACCAGTGTTCCAGTTTTGTTCACTGTGGAGACTATTTGGGAATCTACCTCTGGTTAACACTGGGGTTCCTACTGCTTCTGGCTAAATAAATGAGGGTCCAGTTAATTCTATCCTTCAGTTTCCCCTGTTCCCAGCTAGAAGAAGGAAGAAAAGAGGGCGGGATGCAGTTAGATATGTGTTGTTTAATAACGCTGGGTAGGCTGTCAGCTGCTCCTGTCAGATGTATTACTAACTTTTCTTTCTAGATGATGTTGTGGGAAAATCATCAGACCATCGAGAACAAGACTCAAACCCAGGTAGATGGAGGAAAGGCCCGCTAGCAGGGCCAGCACCTGGATATCTCCAAAATGGCACAGACCCCAGGCTCAGGGTGGTTGAGGTTTTTATACTGAGAAAAGCAGCAGCAAGCAAGCAGGGAGTGCAGAAGCAGACATGGCAGTTAGCTGTTCAAGGTTACAATCTATCATGTCAGCACAGCTGTGGACAAAGGCCATCTGCAGTTTCTAGCAAGATAGTTGGATGCAGGGGCCCCAGCTAGGGGAAGGGCTTTACTCGTCTTTGATCCTTTTCCCCACTTTGATCTTCCTCCAGGTTTCCTTATCATTCCCTCCTCTTATCCATCATAATCCCTTATGACCGTTTTGGGAAAGTCATTTAGGGGCAATCTTTTGTACTCTCTCACTAACTGTAATTTAACAGCATCCATCCAGTTGTGAATGAACCTGGCGAGGTTTATCACACAAGGCTCTAGAGTAACTCAGTGAGTGGGCCTGCCGGGGCTGGGGGAGGCTACCCATGGGGCCCAGCTTCTCCACCCTGTACTCCAAAATGTATCCTGTTTTTTTGTCTTGTATAGAAGCAACATCCTTTTTCTAGAAATGTACAAATTCCCTCTTTTTCCATAGTGATGGGATCTAAGCCCCTGTGCTTTTGCAAGACCACAGCTACTAGTGAGTCTAACTGATTTTGTAGGGTGACAATATTCTGTACTAATCCTAAATCCTCACAGATTTGTTCAGATAGCTGGCTATGCTGGACTTGTTGGAGACCAATGACAGTAGCCCCTGTAGCCTTTGCTCCTGCCAGGGCGACTCCCAGAAGTACCGGGAGGAGGATGGGGTCCTGCCAGAAGCGGGTGGGACTGTCAGTCTGCTGGTTCAGGTACTGAGCAACTTCAGCCCCGGGAATTATGTCCAGGTCCAGGACTAGGAAAACTAAGGCACAGTCCCCCCATGGATAACAGGTATGGATCCTGCTCTGGCAGGCAAAGTAAGTTCTGTTGGGCACCTTGGCTCCTTTTACCAAATTAGTGCAGCTTTTCCCTTTGCCAAAGCATTTAGTTTCTCCAATTATTTGGATAGCCGGGCCTGTGAGGCAGGTATTGTCATGCTGAGTAGAGTTGTCCAGGCCTAGCCTATGTATTTCTGATATGTTAGCCAGGCCACCCCGGCATATAACACTTGGCCGGCCCTCAGACAAACCCAGCAGTCTGTACCTTTGCTGTATTAGTTGATGGCTGCTGTTTGCTAGGGCCATCATCTTTTTTTTTTTCTTTTTCTTTTATTATTCATATGTGCATACAAGGCTTGGTTCATTTCTCCCCCCTGCCCCCACCCCCTCCCTTACCACCCACTCCGCCCCCTTCCTCTCCCCACCCCCAATACCCAGCAGAAACTATTTTGCCCTTATTTCTAATTTTGTTGTAGAGAGAGTATAAGCAATAACAGGAAGGGACAAGGGTTTTTGCTGGTTGAGATAAGGATAGCTATACAGGGCATTGACTCACATTGATTTCCTGTGCGTGGGTGTGACCTTCTAGGTTAATTCTTTTTGATCTAACCTTTTCTCTAGTACCTGTTCCCCTTTTCCTATTGGCCTCAGTTGCTTTTAAGGTATCTGCTTTAGTTTCTCTGCGTTAAGGGCAACAAATGCTAGCCAGTTTTTTAGGTGTCTTACCTGTCCTCACCCCTCCCTTGTGTGCTCTCGCTTTTATCATGTGCTCATAGTCTAATCCCATTGTTGTGTTTGCCCTTGATCTAATGTCCACATATGAGGGAGAACATACGATTTTTGGTCTTTTGGGCCAGGCTAACCTCACTCAGAATGATGTTCTCCAATTCCATCCATTTACCAGCAAATGATAACATTTCGTTCTTCTTCATGGCTGCATAAAATTCCATTGTGTATAGATACCACATTTTCTTAATCCATTCGTCAGTGGTGGGGCATCTTGGCTGTTTCCATAACTTGGCTATTGTGAATAGAGCCGCAATAAACATGGGTGTGCAGGTGCCTCTGGAGTAACCTGTGTCACAGTCTTTTGGGTATATCCCCAAGAGTGGTATTGCTGGATCAAATGGTAGATCGAGGCTAGCTTTTTAAGTAGCCTCCAAATTTTTTTCCAGAGTGGTTGTACTAGTCTACATTCCCACCAACAGTGTAAGAGGGTTCCTTTTTCCCCGCATCCTCGCCAACACCTGTTGTTGGTGGTGTTGCTGATGATGGCTATTCTAACAGGGGTGAGGTGGAATCTTAGTGTGGTTTTAATTTGCATTTCCTTTATGGCTAGAGATGGTGAGCATTTTTTCATGTGTTTTTTGGCCATTTGAATTTCTTCTTTTGAGAAAGTTCTGTTTAGTTCACTTGTAGAGCCATCATCTTAATGAGAGGGGTGTCAGGGTGTAACGGGGCTGATTAGTCCCATCCAAGGAGGGAGGGAGGATCTGCTCCTGCACCCAGGGGTCCAGAGAGTTGGCTTTACTGATTGGGAGAGAGTGATTTGCTGCTTTAATCTCAAGTCTAAGGGGCTTTAAAACCACTTGACTTTTCCAGTTACATTCGAGGAACCATCCCAGTCCAAAGACCCTAGCTCCCCACCGTTGAGATTCATCTATTGTTAACTGGAAAAGATCTCCTTTTCCCTCGCCTTGTTCCCTGGCTTGCTCCTCTTTGTTGTAGTTGTTTGATGATAGCCTCTGAATACTGACACCCTGGCCTTTGGTGGGGACTGCCACCCAAGCTCCTGAGGAGGCAAAATCAACACATGACCAGTATTGTAAAAAGGACCATGAAGGCCCCCCCAGTCATTCCAGATCCGAGGTATTCAGCCATACACATTGGATAAGCCATCTTTGAACTGGCCAGAGCAGGCCAGGGTGGTGGGCCCTAAGTGAGCTATTGCTCTGACTTCCGAGCCTAGGCAGTACCTAAAGGAGATGACACAAGGGCCTGACACAGCACAAGTGGTGTGGTTAATTAATGTTGTTCTCTCTTGTCCTACCAAGAGTCTGACCTCCCATATTAGCTTATGAAAGATCCCAGTAGGGCCTGGAGGCCTCACTTGTGTGTCAGTCATTATGATCACAGTTTTCAATAGGGTCAGTAAGTCTGTCTGATGCCTCATCAGAGCTTCCTCAGGTCAAGGTCAGTTTGAATGGCTGGTCGAGGTTGGCTCGAGATCTCCACCCCTGGCCTGGATCCTCTGCTGGCTTAGCATGTGTGTGATGGATCCACGGCTTTAGTCCTGCAAACTTAAGGTCTAAAGGAGTGGTTAGAATGACTTGGTAAGGTCCCTCTCATTGGGGATTTAAACGTCCTCTAACTGGGGTTTTGA